GGAGTTACGCAAAACTCTGCGCCTAACCTCGGCATTGCTTGTCCGCTTCCCCATCTGAGTCGTGCAATGCGACGTACACAGCAATGTTGGAACACCGAGTCTATCTTCCTGTTTTCGCAATGGCCGGCTCTCTTCACCGTATGGCAGCACTGGTCGAGCTGCCGCGTCATGCACTCCACTCTTCATAAACAACCGGATTTCGGGGCTGCGCCACAGATGTCTCAAGTTGCAACACACCTGGATCTCCGTTTAGCAGTGCAATGTCGTCTGCATACTCCAGGACAGACAATCTACTACCTAGGAGCAAATAGATGCTGTCACCCTTGCACGAGAATAGAGTTGCTTCGAAAATCAAACCGATGACGAAGTTGAATAGAAAAAAAGCAAGGAGTCGACAGCCTTGACGAGGATTAGGAAAATGTTCCGTTAGCTCAGACTCGGCTTCCGTTATTTGTATAAAGAGAACGTATAATGGTAATTAACTTCCCGGGCATATCCTTCAAAGAGACGCAGTGCCAGAGTATAGAGCGATCGACTGTGTAAAAAGATGTTTTCGAATTGAGTAACACTGATGATGGGTTTATGGAACGATTGTGCCATAGATCTAGCGAAGAGTGACGATGCGATCGATACAACCTGGACCAGGTCTAGAACAAACCTGGTTCTCATGCGTACACCGTGCAGGAAAAGGCCAGCAGTGACAATCTTGCTTATCTGTTCATAAAGCTTGAAATAATGTGCATGCACAGTCGGACTGTGTACTCTATGTATTGATCACCAGTGTTCGCTTTCTTTTCCCGTCCTTAAGAATAGATTCAACCTCTATCCTCCCTACACATTCAAAATCGTCTTTCCTCTACGTCATACATTTCCTGCACAAAGCTCCAATTCCCCCCACACTTGAGTACTGCAATTATGTGCTGGTCGGAGATTTGTCCAACTCTCTCCTTGATCAAGTTCAACGTAATGATCGTGTGTCTCAACGACCTTTTCCTAGCATGTAAATTAGTCACTAGCTCATCATCAGGTAGTCATCTTCGGTCTATCGTACCAAACTCTCCTCTCCGTTCCTTCCCATGTGTTCTTCCTTGTGTACCCTGTACACTGGCAGCCATTGTTATGCTATTTTGATTATTTATGGCTATTGTGTAATACCAACTATAAGTTAAAGGTACTTTCTCATAGGTTCCTTTCCGTTTATTCCTATCCCGCTCTTTATCTTCACTCACAAACAATAAAACAGAAACAGACTTACAAAACAAATATCTGGGGTGTTTCATCTAGTCCATCGTTTTCTGGCTCGAAACTAATCATCCTGTTGTTCCGTCTCTGATCGGAACAGTGAAGAGAAATTTAATCGTAGTTTGCTACTATCGTACCTTGTATTTGCGATTGATTAGTTATGTTTTGCGTCAACGTGGCGGATTCGTCTCGCGGCCGCAAATTGTTTCTGTTAAACGATTTACGCTAAGTTTACGGAATTCACTATTGTGATCTCAATGGTTTTACAAAAAGCAAACGTTTCTCCTTTTCACTTTAACAATAGTAAAAGTAACTACATATTTCATAATAATTATTAAATAAATAACTACAGAATTTCCATGGAAGTCACACTACCGGTTTCGCGGTTCTTGTCGCTCGTCAGGTATGCGTATCCAGTAATTTTTCGTCAGTTCATTCATTTACTTCTCCGTAGGAGGTGAATCCTCGTCTTGAATATTCCATTCGCCATAGCGGGAAAATTTTTTGGGATGGCCCTTGCAGAACCATTCCATTTATTGA